AATCAGATGATGATGGCTTTTGCTAATGAAGTGCATGGAATGGACTTAGACCAGCCTTGTTTGTAGAGGCAAGAACCTGTGCAACACAACTGTGGTGATCGCCCTGGCTCTCCATTCACCTGCTTACACCTCTTTTTAGTCATCTAGACTTTCCACTCTGAAGCCTGGATCTTGCTCTTYCTGAATTAGACTTGATCCACCCTTGGAAGCCTTGACAGTGTGTCTCTCTTTAGCAAGGGAAGAAGTTAACACCTCTGACTCATGTTTGCTAGCCAAGACTCCTAAAAGAGGTGCAACATTTCACCTGACTAGTTTGTTTTGATCAGGAAGTGATGTAAGCTGTCCTAGGAGCCCAGTAGCTTACCAAGGGGTATCCTGTCCAGCCCAAACCCTTATGTGTCCTCTTGGAATAGTTCTCCTGACCTGCTTAGCTCAGGACCTAAGGACTTTCGTTATCCTACATGTACCCCTGCCCCTTGTGTCAATAAAGATGCTTAAAATCTGTCTTTTGTAGTTGCATAGGGTCAGCTGTGCTGCCTTGGGCAAATGGTGGCGTGGGCCAAACAACTGCAGAGAGAGAGAGAGAGAGAGAGRGAGAGAGAGAGAGAGAGAGAGAGAGAGAGAGAGAGGTGATGCACACAGGAGGTGAAGAATAGCGTGTACTGCCTTCTCTTGGGCTCAGCTCCTATCTTAAGTGCTGGAAATACCTGAGACCTGTTATATTGAACTGTATTTGGTTGGTCATTACCCTGCCTGCCCAGGGAGGTTGTGGAGTCTCCTGCTCTGGAGGTCTTCAAAATCCACCTGGATGCCACCCTGTGCCACATGCTCTAGGTGTGCCTGCTTGAGCAGGAAGGTTGGACTAGATGATCTSTAGAGGTCCCTTCCAACCTTAAATATTCTGTGATTCTGTGATTACAGGGATTAGTGTCTCACATAAACTTTAGTCATAAAAGCCATCCTTGCAGTGAAGCTAAATCTTCCTGGAACCCACCTACCCTGGGGGAAGCATAGGCTCCTTCTGAGGGCAACTGAAAGCAAATATCTAAATTATCACCTCTGAATTGCCCTTTCCCTTCTAGTCATAGGAGGCACTTAGCAGCGATCAGGCTCACAAGGCTGAATACAAATACTCCCCTTCTATAATCACTTCCTGGAATTTTCTTTAATCACTGCTRAAATGTATTAGTGATAGCTTGTCTCTAATGTTGATTGCATAGTTTGAATACATAATGTGAGGATAATTTAGTAGGGAAAGAATTAGCGAGAAGGGAGATGGATGCACGTTTCCAATAAGAAACAGTCAAAAAATATTTGTTGAAATACAATCTTTTTAAAGCTCTTTCTTTATGAATGTATACAGAGATGAATGAGCACAATCACACACTCGAATGTAAGCACARACATGGATTCTTCTGCTTTCTAAGAGTAAGGATATTATGTTTTTAAGGTGTACCTGATTAATATTTGCAGACCTTTTCCTGAGGCTTTAAGAGAATGAGAAAGGAGGGTAAAATCCTCATGTCATACGACTCTTGGAGTTTGATTTTTTTCTTGTGARAGTTCAAACCTGGTGAAATTCATAATAAACAGGTTACCTCTCTGGAGTGCAGGAGTTAGGTTTCTGTGATTGTTTTGGAAGGAAGGCCAATCTTATTCTGTCCATGTTAGTCAAAACATAGCAGAGCACAATGCAGTTCTCTTTCAGCCCTAGTCATATTAAGCTAAACCAAGAGCAACTAAAGTCTGATGTCACTAAGCTTGTCATCATCTTTGGTATCTTTCCATCTTTGGTATCTTTTTGCACTGTTGTGTAAACATTGAACGTTTTTGTCCTCTGATATATGTAAGGCGTTTCCTATCTTGGCTCATATCTTTGGAATATGTTTGATTTCAGCAACTTGTTTTCCTCTTTGACACGAGCAAGCCCTAAGCAGATCTCTGCAATTTGCATGCACAGGCACARCTGATAGGTGTAAAGCCACAATCTTGTCGTCAGGCAGCCTAGTATCTCGTTAGCCTTTTTAATGGGTGCTGTTATAGCAATGGCATAGAATCTCACTTGCTTTTTTGCTTGGTTGTTTTTTCATTTGTTTTGGCAGAGGAATTAACAGATATATGATTTCCCAGTTCAGCTCTGTGTAATTATAGGTATATGTAATTTGACTTAAATAGATCTAGAACTCCCATTGCTCTCATCTTTCAATCTGAGGTACCTTGTTGCTCTTGAGTGCTACTGTTGGAAAAGATCTCAAAAGAATATTAAAAAAGATAATAGAGAACCCAGGACAGGGTACATAAGATGCTAGATAATTTAATACAGATCTCCCAAGCATTTTTTGATATAGGAAAAAAAAATCCCCAAAGTTGGTTACAAGTTTCTTTTTCTCAATACAGACATTTACATGGGAGTGAGGAAGGGAAAGTTAGATGAGAATTTGCTAAACCTCAGTTAATCATTTATTAAAGCAGTCCCTGGGTTGCCCAATTCATTAATCTCATTAACAGGGAAGGAGGGCTACAATGCCTGGGTAGCTGAAATCAGCACTGTGTTTACTAAGCAACAGTACTTAGTTCACAAGGGAAAGATTTAAGAGATTCACTGTGTCACTGTTTCTTTCCCCGAAGTTGAAGTAATGTGATGGGTCACTTGATCAGCTCATGTCACATGCTGACTGTGGCTGCAGACAGCATGGGGTCAGGCACAGAGCYGCCAGAAACAGGCTGGGCCTGGGACCACTCATTTCTGAAGGTGTTTGTCATGTCTTCTGAATCAAAATGCGACCCAAGGAATATGGATATCTGGAGAGAGGAGAGCAACACAACGTCACCCCATGGTTCCTCATGCACACCCTCCCCTCCACATTTCTGTCCCTCTTCTCAGGCCCAGCAGAAACGTGCCTGCTGCCACCACTCAAGTTATCACTCTGCCTGAGCCTCAGCAAAGTGGTGGGATGGTCTCATGCCCYGGCCCCTCCGGTGGGAGCATCTTGTAGGAACTTGAGCAGTGCTTTGTAGTATTCTGGAGAATACATGTGCTGCAGCATCTGAATTTGGGTCCAGACATTTCTGGCAAATTATATCTGCTGTGCAACTACTATATACATAATATCATGCCTTCGTGAGGTGTCAAGTAGAGCATTTCTGCACCCTTGTGCACGGCAAGCCTTCACTCAGTAGACCTCCAAGTCAAATCCTGCCCTGACCAGTAACTCTTTGTTAGTATCAGTGACTGCCTGGCCTCTTGTCTGAAATAATATTTAGTCTGTAGTGTGCTTTTATCCTCTAACTGATGTTTATAGACTTTGTCATGATTGACAGTAGATGTTGATGACTTGTCAAAATGCATTTTTTGGTGTCGCTCCAAGCGTCACACTCTCCTTTGCTGCTGGCTCCTCATCATGAGTTCTTCGCTTACTTTTGCTTTCCAGCTCTTCAGCTGGCTCTAACTTGACCCAGTTCCTCCGTGCCTGCTGTTGGTGCCTTCACTGCGCACTCTCTCTCTGCTCTAGTCTGTACCTTTCTTTTCCTCAGTTCTAGAAGAATCTTCTATCATTCTAGTTTCTTTTGCTATCTCCCATCTACTTTTCATCTCCAGTTTAGATTGGGTGGTTTATTTTTTGCTGTCTTATTTTCTTCTCTTCACTACATCTTTTCCTAATCTCTTGCAACCTGGTTGCAGTCCTCTGAAATTATTTTGATCTAGGTTGAGACACGTTCTTTAGCTTCTTCCAGCTAAATATTAACTCTCTTCATTTCCTGATCATCATCCATTTACCCTTGTGCTTCCTATACTTAACCTGGAATTTTCTTCTTTTTCTGTCGGTGTTTTTCTCTTTCTCAGACTGCTTCCCTACACCAGGAAGACTTCTTTTTTTTTCTTCTCCTCGCTCCTTCATTTCTCCCTATGCTTCTCCCAACCTCACTAGTGCAGCAGTTCCTCTTCCTATGTAGTATGAATACTCCCCCCTGCTTTCTTCTGTGTTATTTCCTTGTGTCTCTTCCTCTTCTTTTTCCTGCTGTGCGTTGCTGTGGGTTTAGGGGCATGCTGCATGTATGGGACCGCCACCATCAGCACTCTCCAAACTGATTTGCCTTTTTCCCTGTACGAGCTGCTTGGACAGGCCCTGGTCTTCCACAGCTACAGAGAGTGCCCTGCTTCAAAGCTCGTGCCACCTCAGGCACCCTGTTGCTCTTCCTATGCCTCCACAGGCAGGCTCATCACCGCTCTGGAAGGTGTCAGCATGTGTTTCCAGCACTGTGCAAGTGCTTTATAATCACTGCTGCCTGCAGTGCGAGAGGGAGGCAAGGAGGGGCATGCGTGGGAGACTTTTGCCGTTGCCCTGTGGATAGATGGAGCACCTCGTGCTCCTGAGGGCTCTCGGCTAGCATCACTCACCAGCTCTCAGCTCTGTCCTAGACTRCACAAGGATGTGGCAGCAGTCCTGTATGCAGTTCATTGCCATGTGTCTTCTCTGAGGCCATAATATGTCAGYCTGGGATGCAGCTTTCCTGTCAGCTGATGGATAAACATTCCATGCTGAAAGCTATCTCTTCCCTGGGAACGTAAAAAGCTTGAGCGTCCAGGCTGTTTTTCTCCACCCCTCCCACATGGAGCAGTTCCTCTCGGTGCCGCATGCCAGTGCTGGCAGGAGCTGTGTGTTTGGGGCCACCCTTCCTGCCTTGCTGGGTTTGGCATGGCAGCAGTGTGCTGGGCCAGGGCTGGCACAGCAGAACTTGGGAGGGGAAAGAGTTGGTCTGCTTTGGGTCTCGTGTGAGCTCGTGGTCTAGCCCCTTGTCTGACCTGCTTTAGAAGTGGAGTCTTGATGTCCTCAAATCTCTCTTTCTTATCTCAGAATTTGTCGTGTAAACCATGAATCAGCATGTCACTGTGGTAGGGTCTGTACAGAGTATAGGAGTACTAATGTATATGAGCCTTGAATCCCATGGTGCATTATTCCTCATTGTGGCTATAGTCTATCAAAAAAACAGAAACTTACTTTTGCTGCCAACATCCCCACTTCTATACTTTAAGGACTTTTGTACTCCAGCATGTGAAACTGATGGTCATTTTAATTTTATGCACATAAAATGACTTAATTTTCTCCTCAAGACATGCAAAGGCATATGACGCTCATAATTTTGTCTTTCAGCCGAAGTGGAGGGATTGCAAGTGACTGTACCTGAGAAGAAGAAGGTGGCCATGTTGTTTCAGCCTGCTCTCCTTCGCTGCCATTTCTCTACTTCTTCCACCCAACCAGCTGTGGTACAGTGGAGGTTTAAATCTTACTGCCAGGACAGGATGGGAGAAGCCTTGGGTATGGCAACTTCTGGCTTACAAACGATGAGCAAGAGGAACCTGGACTGGGATCCCTACCTAGACTGTGTGGACAGCCGGAGGACAGTCCGTGTTGTGGCTTCCAAACAAGGATCTGCCGTCACAATAGGGGACTTCTATAAGGAAAGAGATGTCAGCATTGTCCACGGTAACTCTCCTGTCCCAGTGATGCTGATGAGGGGTGGAATTGGCAGTTTGGGATGCTAGAGGCCAGCAGTAGTTTTTCAATTGACTCTTTGCCTTCGTAAAGTCTACTGAAAGTGAGCTCTTTTTGTGTCACACATTTCGGATTCAACCAGTCAGACTGTGCAGGTCTCTAATCCCAACAAAGAACTCTTCTCTCCTTGACAAAGGGGAAGCTCTAGTTTCCAAGTCTTTTTTTCTTGGCCTCTGTATATTGTTCTGTATATATATGTTTTCCTTAGCACAGGAGAGCCAGGAAGAAAACTATAAACTCAGTCTCTGCAGGCTAGGTCTGTCTTCCTTAAACACTCCTCTGGTGTTTCCTCCCTTCTGAAAAAATACTGTATGTCTCACGTTCACTCAACTCGGGGCTTAACAGCCTACTCTGTCATGAATCCTACAGCCACACAGCATGAGGCAGTGTGAAAAGAAGAGATTTCAGTGGGTTACATCAAACTGGGGAGAGATAAGGGGTGGTAGTTTGCCATGGAAGGCTGCACAAGAAGATGTCACTCAAATTTGTCATAAGCCCTCTGTTCGACTCATAAGATTCCCTAGACAGAAGAGGAGGCAAGTCCTGGACTCTTTGATATGGAGAGCATGCACTTAGTCCCCGTAGTGGGGACGAGGGCAGTGTTTTCCCTTCAGTCTATATATCTCTTTGGCAGATGACTGAAAGGCAACAGAGGAGATACTGCCTATACCGTTCTTGTGTGGCACAAGTGCTGTCAGGATCCCAGGTCTTAGCCATCAGGGAGGACAGAGGGTGATGTTAGTTAGCCCTCCTGCTCTCTGCCCTTGCCCCGTGAGGTCCTTCTGTGGCATTATCAAGCTTCCCATTGATAGCCTCAGAGTCTTGAGCCTATTCAGCTTTTTCTCAAGTAGTGCAATATGCTGAATAAACTCAACGGAATGAACAGACTCACCCTTTCCTCTTAGCAAGGAAACTGGTAGGATTTAGGAGTGGAAGCTGGACCCAATGCTTTCAACTCCTCACTCTGAGTGGTGGTGTAGGGAAACACTGACTTCTCTTGTTTGCCTTTCAGATGCAGACCTTCAGATTGGGAAGCTGATGTGGGGAGACAGTGGGCTCTATTACTGCCTTATTATCACACCTGATGATGTGGAGGGCAACAACGAAGAGTCGGTGGAGCTACTTGTACTTGGTAAGTTCTGTTAGCATATTGCCCTGTCTTCAGTAGACGGCTGATGCATCTTTCCTTCTGTCTCTCTGCATATCTATGCACCATTTTACTGCTGGTCTAAGATTGGTATGTAAAACAGTCCCTGCAGTACCTTCACCATTGCCTTGCACTTTGTGTGCTTGTTCACACCTAGGCAAAGTGGGTGGCAAATGCTACCAAACCAGAATAGTCATGTTTACACCCACATTGATCACACTTTACACAAGTGTAAATGACTACAGAAAGTTCAGGACTGTGGAAACCTTCAGAACCCCTTCATTAAAGGCATAAAGCAATAAACTTGCAGCAAAGTGAACACTTGAGAATGATTTTTTTTTTTAAACAACTTGAGAATGATTTTTTTTTAAACAGTCTCCTAAAAGTCAATTAAAATGTATGTTTTTTTTGCAGTCTTTTAACATTCCCTTGGTGGAACTTTTGTGACCTGTTGGGTTGTCAAGACATGTTATAATGAACAGCATGGACATGTCAGTATGGGAGATATTTTGGGCTGTTTGGCTAATTACAGTTGTACATTTAGAGGTACAGTTTCACAATGACCCTAACCAGATGTAAGCTGATGCTGCCATCCTCCCTTCACTTGCACACCTGACTCTTATGGTCATGCTAGCTTGTGAAAGGAGACAGTAAAATAATCCAGAGTGGCAACAGCCACTGAGTTTTAGTTGATTTTTTTTCACCAGCACGAGATCTTTGTGATAACGACATCCACCGTTAACTGCTGCCATTAACTGCCGATTGTTACAGGAATAGCCTACCAATTAGTAAAGAGCAATCAGTGCAACTAAATAGAGTACATTGATTGTCCCAGTAAAATGCTACAGGATTTCTTCACCCTACACGTGCAAGAACTTTCAATTTTGCAGGGGTTGCCTTAGCCCAGAATTCCAGGTAAGGAGGGATACTGGGGGTCTAGCTGGAGGAGCTGGTCAGGGGTCCTTCCTGATCCCTGTTCAACCCATCAGTGCTGGACTCTGACCTTTATTCCCTGAGGGCAGGGAGTATGTGACTATCCTATGGTCATCTCTATAAGGTGAGCCTTCCAGAGTCTTCAGAGGAGTTTCGTAAGATTATCTGCTCTTTGCACCATCAACAAGGCCAGTTTCCCTTATCAAGTGTTTTGCAAGTCTTATCAGTTCTTCAGCAAGATTGGCATTGTTTGCAAATTTTAGCAAAGTGAGACCACTGCCTCCACAAATATTCCCACTTCCCGATCTTGTTGGGATGAGTACCCAAAGTTTCCCTATGCTGTTTGTGCCATTTTAGCAGAGTTTGTGCAATTCAGTGGTTTCGGTTGTTAACTCTTTACTTGCCCATCACTTTCTATTGAACTCCCTTGTGCAGCATGATCACCTGAATCAGCTTATTTCCTGTTCCCAAGGTTAGCTTTCAGCAATGGTGCTTCCTGTGAAGGAAAGAGTAAAAAGGTGGATCTGTATTKTGTGATACCTGCAGGTTAATTACAGAACATATCTATTGAAAGCCATTGATTTCATGGCTAAAAYTGGAATATAATTGGCATTTAAACTTTGGAGCTATAATAGTCCTTACAAAATAAACTCGGACTGATAGGCTTGGCTGAGTGATTACAACAGTGCTATCCCCTCTGCTCATTCCTTCAGGTGTTAATCAGGTAACGGACAGCTGGGGGGTGGGTCCCTGCAGAAATAGTGCCATACCTCTTTCCAAATCCACAAGGTGACTGGGTGGCAGATACCAGTAATAGGCGCAAGCCTGACCTGTGATAAGTCAGATGACGCTCTCCCTGACAGGGAGCAGCAGTGGCCGTTGTGCAGCCTCCTCAGAGGAGCTGACTGTGGCAGCGTGATGATGAACTGTTGAGTTTTGTCCTTTCTTCACCTTCCTGACTGGATTTGGTATCTCTGCTATCTGTGTCTATAACTGTGCTCAGACTCCAGTGATGATACAGTGCCATGGTAACAGGAAGAATTTGTTTTTCAGCGTGTACAGAAGACTCTGTGGGGGAAAAACAAAGAATATCCCCTCATCTGAGATTGGCTTGATGGAGCCCCTGGTCCCAGTTTATTGTAGTTACACTGGGAGAAAATGTGTAACTCAGACTGCATCACCTGGACTGTGTCTGCTTCTCTCTTCACTATAGCCTGTGTGCCTGATGTTGGGAGTTCCTGCGGTTCTCTTTGCTAAGTCTGGCAGTAGCAGGAAGGCATCCCTATTGTGGGCACACTTTATTCTGCCATGTGCTGTTTGGCACAGTTTATGTGTATTTCTTCTCCTGGGTAATGTGTACTGAGGTAGCATTCCAAGTTTTCATAGCAATTCCAGGTTACCTACCCATCTTCCCTCCTTTCCTCTTCCCTTTTCACCACTGCCTGTATTTCTTCCTTCTCCTGTCTGTCTCTCTAGTACTGTCTAGAAGAGATGGAGGCAGTAAATAGTAAAGATACCATTTCTTATCTTAAAAGTATCTTAWGAAATACTTTTTATTCCATCCCAGTGCTCTGCCAGATACTAGTGACTTGCAGGAAGGCAGTGACTACTGATGTGGATCTGRGAGAGACCACAGTCCTAGGGCTGCTTGGGAAGAGAGTTTTGTTTGCTGCTGTTGGTTTTTGCATGGAACCCAGATTCCTTCCCTTTTGGAGCAGCAGGGTCAGTAGAAGGATGGTATCTGTGAAAGATGCTGTGGTTCTCATAACACATTACCATTTGCACCCCATTGACAGTGTTTTTTTCAAATAAATTTCACATTGAATATAGATAGAATACATGAATTGGCAGTTTGAATAAACTTTAATTTCTTTCATCTTCTGAATAGGAGAAAATGGGAAAACGAGAATAAGGAATGAAACCAGTCAGTACAGAAAAGGAAGAAGGAAAATGTCCGTTCTGCTGGTCCTACATTAATATCAAAACTTAAGGTGTATTTCACTTAGAGATAGATGCTACTCGAAAGGACAACTTCATCCTGCTTAGAAATCTTGGAAAATCTGAAAGGCAAATTGTAAATACCTAATGGTATGAATAAATGAATAGAAATTTGTTTAGCTAAAAATGCAGGATTCTGCTTTTATCCAGTGAACTGCAACAGAAAAATTGTTCAGAAGCTGCTATATCACACCTTTGAGAAAAATCCCAAACTTGAGAGTATTGTAGTATTCCTTTGTTTTCTTAGGGAAGCAATCACAAGAACTTCCATCTCTATTTGAAGGTTTTCCAGCATAATCTAAGTAGTGAGTCTGCCTAGGTCATGATGGAACTGCATGTTGGGATCGGGACACAATAAAGAGATTGGGTGGCTCTAAGTAGCATCAGAAAATCCCATGATCTGTCTTCATTTCAGGCCTGTTTCAGAAAACCAGTTATTTACATGCATTTGTGTTCAGCAGAGCTGATAGGATTAAAAAAGCATACCTGATATTGAGCATGTACTTAGGTACGTTTTTGAAAAGACCATTCAATAGGTATTGCTTAGTCAGGGACTTACGCTAACCCTCTTTCAGGGAATCAGTACAGGGATGTGAAACGGAATAGTTGTAACCCCTGTTACTGCTCTGAAAGGCATTGGCTGGAATGTACTGCAGAGTAATGAAAAGAATCTAATTTAAAAGTATTATTAGACTTTTATTAAATATTTGTACTTTAGTGGTGCTTGAAATCTCTGAACAGGTTCCAACTTGCTAGAAACTGTACTAACTCTGCTTCTGCTGCATCAGGGTTAACACAGAGCTTAGCAATTGCACGACAGGAGTCAAGTGATGTTCTCTGCACTCATGTTTCTCAGTAGATTATTAGATCCCGTGGCTGACATTACACTTAGGCTACTGAACCCATTTGCAACTTTATATATTTAAACTTTTTTTTTTAATAATCAATGTATGATTGAACCAAAAATGCTGAATTCCTAAATTTAAGAATTTAAGAAGGTTCACATTCCTATTTTAGTAGCTAACTAGCTTATTTAAACATGCAGGTGGTGTTCGTAATGAAATTGTTTTTCATAGCACTACTTTTCATATGAACTTGTCCATGGGCTGTAGTAAAGTCATTAGGTGCAGCCTTTGTTTAAGAAAACTTCATGTGTCTCTGTGCAGCAGGTGCAGTCCTTTAAATGGAAGTACAGGGCAATGTCAACAGATGCCCTCTCGAGCTTTATGTGACCCAGCTCGCATGAGGAGGTAGTCTAGCTTAGTTGCATGATATCGTATATATCCCCAGTTAAGCACAGGCAAGACCCAGAATTTGCCAGTAAGATGCAGAGTCTTGTGAAAGCAGCTCTACAGCTCCCATCCCAAGCTRCTACATCTACTGGTGTACTCGGAGTGGTTGACCATATCAGTGCCTAACCAGTAAGTCTATGCAARCTTGGGAATGTTTGCTTTGCAAAATTTGACATAGCTTAGACATACTTGGAGTTGCTTCATTCCTAAGAACATATCAAGTTCCTGAAAGGAGCAGGAAGGTGATCCACTAATCCCAGTTGCTGGAATGATGAGTTAGTGACAGCTACTGTTGGACAGCTACAACCTTCTTCACTTGACCATCCYATTTGGCAGTTAATACTGTGTGAAGGATGTATCAGTGGAGTATTATTTTATGAATTAATATTTTAGAAGCTTTAGCTTCTACAGTCATTATGTTTTAAATTGATAACAATTAGCAGTTGAGATTTTAATTTAGCAAGCACTTAACATTGGTTAACTGAGATCTTTGGTAACTCACCAGTCAATCAATATTCATATTCTGTAGAAACGAAATTTAATAAGTCTAACACCTATTGGTAGGAATGAAAGTATACACATACACACACAGAGAATATTTCACAGTAACTAATGCACTAACACAGACATGCGTTGGCTTACAGAGAGGATAAATCTCTACTGGGACGTGTGTGTATGCTGCTCTGTATTAATAAGACAGTTCTTACTCAGCAAAGTGACTCAATACCTGGTATAAAAATAGCCAGGTTTGGAATCTCTTGT